GTAGAAAATGGGAAAAGGGTTGACCCGTGATATTCCTTGAAAATACAGTTTCAATAGACTCGAGGGGTCCTACTGAAATTTGGTAACTTCAGTGAAACTTGATGAATTTATAAATTGTTCTAGATTTCTCATTTTGCTTCTGCACTACTGTCAGTCTCTATTAAGAACTGTACTTTTTTAAGATATAAACTTTGATTAGACTTTGATTAAACTTTGATAGAGACTTTGATTAATTGTACTATATGGAGAAGATAGAACCATCCCTCCCCAGGGACTGATGGGGAAAAAAAACTTCAGGTGCCCACTAGCCAGCATAATATGCAGTAAATAGTACTGAGAAGCTAATTTATAATTTAAACAATGTGTTAATTACTACAGTATAAATAATGAAACCTATGGGAAATCTAGGGAGTAATCCTGTCTATCTGCTCATCTAGAAACAGTTAGAGCACCGTGACCTTGAGTAAGATAACAGAGGCTGTATGCTAACATATAGGACTCTCCTTGCAGTCAGATCAGCAGCAGGCTTCTTTGTTTGCTTGCTTTTATTAATTTTAGGAAAGAAGTCATTCTGAAATCAAATAGCATGGTGGAAAATACAAGGAAATAAAAGGAAAGGGCCACGGGATCTGAGAGAGTGAGTCCCAAATGAGGGGCCATGGGAAGGGACAGCCCTGACCTTCCCTACCAACCTGACACCATATCTTCACCCGCTTTTCAGTTCTGGCATCACCATGGGTGTGACTGGATCCCACTGGGATTCAGCCAAGCTAGCAAAAGGGCAAAGAGAAGTGTCCAGGTGGCCCAATGTGCAGCCACATGAATGCCAGTGCTGGCCCGAGGGAAGTGATGGGAATATGCAGCTTGGGTCAGGTACCGGCCAGGACTTTTAGTGATTCTCTCGGAGATTTTCAGTGGCAGCCTGCAGTTTGGTTGGCTTAAGGTGATCGTAGAAGCAACCCCCGAGCCAGTGTGCCCTTCCAAGTGTGTCTATCACTTTGTCAGTCCTAAGGTATGTCAAGTCAGTAGAAAAAATATAGTGAGAGGTGATCCTCATGTTGGATGTCCAGAAACCTAACCAAGAAAGGATCTGAAAGCCTTGCCATGATCTTGCCATGTCAGCAAATCTACATCATGGTTAGTCTATGACAGTTTATTGTGGAAGTGTTAGCTTATAGCGGGCTGTGAAACTAATGCTTTTTTACTGAGTAGCTTGAAGGGTAAAGGCATTCTTAAGGGCATTATTATGTGTAGCTTTCTAAATTCATTGGGTAATCAAAATATGAGCACTTTCAACTTTTGTATTCCAGTTCTCTTTAACTTGGAGCTAGATCCACTAAAGGACTTAGGTGCCCAGCCCTTGGAGCAGAACTGAAAATACAAAGTGAGAGTCCCAGGTCCATGAATAGTTTTAGTTATCAAAACTGAGATCAATTAACCTGTCCTGGGCTATTGCAGTTAGACTGCTTCCAATATTTGAACTAGTTCCCTTGCAGACCATTTAGACACTTCTGTCCACATATATACTCTTGTATAAACAGATGCATGCAGGATCAGCAGCAGTTGCTTCAGTGACGAAGAACAAAATGGACTTTCTAACCCTTCTCCCCCGACATGCAGGGCTGCTACGTTCCTCCTGCAGTTCCCACCTGAAGTAGGACTGGCGGAGACAGTGAATCCCACCGTGATGCTGCTTAGAAGATGATTTTTCTACAGAGTAACTAAGGGAGAGAAGAAAAAGTAACAGTTTTTCGGAGCTGCAAGAAATTGCCATGGGAGAGCTGCACCATGGAGCACATGAAGAAAAAGGAAGGGAGACAGACTCTCACTAGGAAAAGATTGAGAAATTACTTCTTTTTCAAGGCACATCTGCCTTCTAGAGAGGGATATATTTCTGCAAACACAAGGGCCTCATCAGGGTAGAAGAGGTGGAGGTTACACATAAAATGGGTAAGAGGAGGCTAGCTCAGCTCCGGGTAGTCCAAGATCATAATGAAGTTCCCCTACAGCTTCTTTCAGCCCTTACATTTTGGGAGGGACCTGGTTGCTGGCTATAGGCAGAATAAGGAAGATCATTGCCTCTAATTTCCATCAGTTTTGGTGAGATCTTAAAGAAATCACCTTTGCAGATAATAAGCACGAGATTTTCGTACTGTTTCATCAACACTCAAATTTCTCTGGGTACCAAAGTTTAAGAGGCCCACAACTCCATACGAGGGTACCAAAGCTTAAGAGGTCCACCACTCCATACTGACTGTTTATGACATCCTGTGTAAGTAGTGTTTTGCTGTAGCGGTCCCTGTACAGTGGCAGATAAACCTTACTAGAAGGTTACATTTCATTTTTTTAACTCATGCTTGGGGCTTGCTTGGGCCCAGGCAAATGCTAGTGCTAAATGATCCTTGTGGTGTGTCCTCTAGGCATTTGAAATGGCCTTAATTAGTACGTATGTAAAACTCAGAGGGAGGGTTTTGCAGACATTGCTATCTTTAAGTACGTACAGTCTTTCTCTTGATCTTGGTAAGTATCTGCGCACATGCCTGTATGTACTTTTTCCCTGGAGCAGCACTTAGGGACTAGAAGCAGGAATAATCCACACCTGGTAACTCTCATAACAAAACCAGTAATCCACAGTCACACCGACCGCATTCTTTTGTTGGAGTGATACTATTTTGGTGTATTTGGAATGGAAAATATGCAAGTTTATAAATGCACCATTTAACAGTTTTTCTTGTGGTCATTAATGACATGATAAGAGCCTGGACCAGAAATGCTGGGACTCAGTTGTCATGATAATTCTGTCCTGTATGGACAGAGAACTAAAAGAACAATAGCAAAAGCCAAACAAAGAAAATTAATTAGAACCTATGTTTATTGATCCATGTTAGAAATCTATAACAGGCTCAGTGAGTGGACAGCTAATTGAAGCTTATGGCTAGGCCTTTTTAAACACCCAACTGTAGCGTGAAACCACTGAGAGAAACTATGCAGACTTGCAGTAAATCTGTTATCCTAGTCATCCTATAGTACAATTTATTATCTTTAACTTTTTTATTTAAAAAGTACAGAGAACAGAGAAAGCTATTTTCACAGTTGGCAAGGTACTAACACATATCAATTTTCATCAGGAGAACATAATTTTACCACTATTTAAGAAAATGTCACATCACTATTTAATTTTCCCAGTTTTTTAAATAAGGCCTCTTCCCCTGGGAGGATGGAGGAAAATGGGGGAAGAGGGGATCAGTAACTGTTTTCAGCCTTCTCTGCTGAAATGCATAATTATAGCTTTATCCCTTTCTGGTTTCTGATACACAGATTTCACAGAGTTGATTGCACGCTTCAGGAACCATCTTTGCCTTCTAAATTGAAACATTTCAGGTTTCTTTTAATTAACAATCATTTGCAGAGTACATCACAGGCTTAGTGCCTCACCAGCCACATTTCTCATAGGCAGATCTATTATTGCACAAAAATGAGGGCAAGAGTCCTTCTATATTAATAGTTTATGAAGGTAGCTAAATTATAGCTGACCACACAGTATTCTGGCTCTGTTCCTCTCTTAAGCCTCTCTCTGGAGGGCCAAAGCTTCCTGAATGATAATGCCTTCTTCTGAATGATAATAGTTTGGACAGCTTAGTGTGGGACATCACCACTTTGAGAAACAGCTGTAAGAAGCGCTTAGATAACCTTCTCCGTACAGAGCACTAACTAATTAAAACAGAAACTTTGGCTTTCTTTTCCCCTCAAGGTGACAGAGTTTTTGAGCTAAAGAAACAAAATCAAAACACACGGGAAGCAGGACAGCCCTTATTACATTTCAGTTCTAAGGGGAGGTAAATGCAAAGTCCCAGATTTATCCTCAGGAAACTGCTCAGGATCAAGGTCTTCACACATTTATCCACCCTGTGCCCAGTTCTTTTGCAGTTAATCAGTCTCACTGCATGCTGCACATAATAAGCTAACTAGATTGAGAGCTTCTTGGAGCAAGGTTTTATCACATGCTTTTATCCTGTACAGTGGCAAGTGCATGAACTGTTTCTTAAAAACAAAGAGTAAATATGCTGCTTTCCCTCCCTCTCTTCCTCCTTCCTTTCTCTCTTCCTCCTTCTATCCCTTCCTCCCTTCCTTCCTTCTATGCCTCTCTCCTTCCTTTTCTCCTTCTCTCCCTCTCTTCCTCTTTCCCGCCCTTCCTCCTTCTCTCCTTCCCTCGTGACATTTCTGCTTTCTTGTGGATCTCAAGTCCTCACTCACCTGTCAATAGTTCCTGCCCACATGCAGCCACAACACCACCTCATTGCACTAAAAAAACCTGATGCAATAAGAAAGGAAAGTTACGAGCTAGGCTAAAGTTGCATCAAAAAAAAAAAAGTAGAGAATGGGGTATTCTCATAGGTAACAGGCCTGCATCACTGCCTGAGAACATCTCTGGAAGGACATATGCATGAATTTATCATTTTAAACAAGCTTGATGATAGCAACATCAACCTAAGAGGGAAACTGAGAGCTTGAAGGAATAAGTATTCTTGCAGTGCTCAGCAGCTGCTATGTATTATTTTAGAGAACCGACAGAATAGCTGTTTCCTGCTGTGCCATTTTCTATTTTACAAAATACCACACGAACGTCGTTGCTGGAGTCTGGAGGGTTTTGAACATTCACGGAAAGAAGCATTGAGAAAGGACCAGTAGTTTGATTGATGCAGTTTTCACATTGGCCCAGTGGATAATCAGAAAAGCTCTTCTATCACAAGGATATGCAGAAAGCAAAATGTTATAAATCCTACCCACAACATAGGGCCAATAACAAATGCTAAAAAAACCCAACAACACAGGCATTCTTGACAGAGTCACTGTTAAAAGCTTAATAGCAGCTAGCAGGCAAGATCTGTTCTTATACAAGGAGTACAATGCTCACAGCAGTTTGAAAGGATAAATATGTATGTATAGAAATTACATCTTCCTAAAATGATAAAAAAGAAATAGACTAAATGAACCCCTACCTTGGAGAGCCTGGAGTGTACGAGTCTGTACAACAATACAGAGCTGCAGGACCAGCTGTGGTGCACTTTCCAGAAACGTGGCTAGCAAATGCAGCATACTCACATCTGCATACTCATACACCATTTTCCAATAAAACCGCCATCTGTCATTCTCTCCACTCCGTCGACTCCGGATACCCAAGTATATAGTATGGAAATACCTAGAAATAAAAGAGAGAAGTTATAAAAATGTAGGAAGATATTTTATAGGCAATTCTGCTGCTCAGAAATAGCTCACATTTTCTCAACATACTACAATATAATGAACATTTATTTACAGGCAGTATCGTATTGCAATTTTTAAAAGTTGATGTGATGGGAGTAAACTGAAGATACACTTGCTTAAAACTGCTTTGAAAAGCTTAGCATTGTCTTACTTGTTAAATATTATTCCTCTTAAAACAGTTTTTTAAATTGACATATAAGGTAGATGAGTTGATCATATGGCCCTATCTCAGAGTCTGTTCAAGTAATGGGGAAACATAGCTGATTTTCTAGTGCCGTCTGCTCAGAATCTGCAAAGAATGAAGCTCATTTCTGGGTGGCCCCATGTGGACTTGGAAGATGACCTGCACTGCAAGCCCAGGGCCCTGGTATGGCATTGTCCTGCTTTTCCAGAGGTCTAATGAATTTATTAACATGTTTCAGATACTACCAAACATAAAGTGCTTTTTCTCACAGACTGATTATTTTAGGAGGGGAGAAGAGCTAGCTGTGAGTTCCTATTTTTGGAGGAGAGGAGATCTAGCTGAGAGTTCCCTTGGTGATTAGAAATGACTCACTACGATAGTTCCCCTGCAGGAGCAGCAGAGTGTAGAAGCGGAAGCCACAAGTCCAACAGGCTGCTGCTATTGACAGTCGTAACCAGAAGACGATGGAAGTAATGGACTAAAACCACATCAGCTCTGGTAGCCTGTGCATCCTACTAGAGTGCCCTCTGGGGCGGTTAACTGACCTGGATCTCTCTGTTTCTCTTTCCATATCACTCACATCCTCATCCTGAAAGCATTTCCTTACAATTTTTAAAATATATTTTCACATCATTTTTTCTTAAGTGAAACTATATTTTCTAACTAGGAAAAGCTGTAGTAATTTTTAAACACTTCCAAAATTAACTGTTTGAATTGATTAAGATAAAACATTTCAGTGTTTTATCGTCCTTCTCACAAGCCCTTGTCTTAAAATCCTTTTCATAACTGGCACAACACAGTGAACTGATGGACCTTTGTATATAGGCTACATTCAGCCTCTCATCCTTCTCCAGTTCAGCTGTAACTCCACCTGTAATTTCTGGCAATAGGAACATTTTTGGACTCTGGCAGGCAGAAGTTGCCCCAGTGAAGAATCGCTGCTGTCCCTGTACCCAAAGTGATGATGCACACATCACTGGAAAGCAACAGCTTTTCTCAGGAATATGCATCAAACAAAAACAGGGAGTAGCACAGAGAAATAGCTGAGAAGCCAGATCTGACTCTGCATTTCTCTTGACAACTCACATCATAGCAACATAAAAGGAAAATATAAATTTAAAATATATCAGGCGGTTTTGAACTTTATCAAAGTCCCATGCTGGAACAAAACAGTGGTAAACCACTCACAAAGTGAGACCCCAGAGAAACAGTGATCAAGAAACCAAACTTACTTCTCATGCAAAACACTGAGAAGATCTAGATGGGTTAGAGCATGGTGAGATGACAGGGGGTCTCTGGTGTCCTCACAGCTAGGTACAGTGAGATTATCCAGGAAACGGCCCGATGTCTGGCTCTAGAAGGAGCCACAGAGGTGGAAAAGCATTTTTTTTGGTGCAGTTCTGATAACTGGGTTCATTGGACCTTCAAGTTCCTAATCACAATCGGTTTAATTGCCCCTCAAACTGACTTTACAGTCCTGAAGCACAACAGAAACAGGTAAGACTTACATATCCTTCCGCTTTTTTTTTTTTTTTGCCCTCCCTCATGCATCCTTCCAAAGAGCATGCATGTCAATATTATACATAGTTGGGCAGACATCATCTTCAATATCCTTTTCGCGAGCTATCATAACCCGTGCTATAAATACCTAAAGTAGCTTTGGCTGCAGACGGCTGTGCCAGGAGGCTCTAGCCCTGCCAATGAAGCCATCTGCAACGTCAGTTCTACAGCATTTGTGCAAAAAAAAACTTTTGCTATTATGAAAATGACACGCTGTGCCAGGCAATGTCCCCTAAGGTTCTTTACCTGCTCTGTGGAGTGGCTGTGCATGGCAAATGCATCGTGATTAATGAACCCTTACGGAAATATTTCCTCTTTCATTGCACTTCATTGTTTGAAACACTGGCAGTGAGTTATTGGGGATTGGGGAGTCATTGCTCTTTGTCTAGTTAGTGCTCTACCAATCCAGACACAAGAGGCAGAGGAGGAAGACACTTTCTCTTTTTACACACTGGGGGCCAAATTTCAGCCTCATGTGTTTTTTCTGTCCTATCAATTTTGGCCAAATTAATTGCAGGCTGAAATGAGCATTTACACACACAATTACTATCTCTGATTTATAGGCACAGTCAGGTGATTAGACAGCTAAACATTCTCATTTGCATCCACAATTTAATTGCACCAGCAATTGATGTTAGGTGTGCAAATTAGCAGTTAATATGATAAAAAGATGATTTCATAAAATGCTTCATATATCAAAGACACTTTTCCTATAGTGAAATTAAAAAAAAAAGGGAAGAAAGAGCTTGTCTTGTTATGATTTCCAGATATAGCTTCATACTGCAGTAATGGCACATCCCATTTTATGCATATGCATTATATAGTTGTATCTTAGATAACCTCACTGGAGCTCTACTGTCAGCAAATGCCATACCAACAGAGGTATACCACTCAGAGGTAGTTCCTCCCTCAGAGAGCTTTTACCGTTCTGGTCTTCTGGTATCAGTCTGGTGGAAATTCACATTTTGGTACGTGTGCAGATTGTGGTCTGTACATACGGCTACTCTAACAAGATATAGGAAGAATTCATGACGACCCTGCACGGGAAAATATCTTAGGTTCATTGTAGTGTAAAATTGTGCCAATGAACCAGAAAGTGCAGACGGATGTTTAATTATTTCAGTTGCTATTGTATATGGAAACCTCACATAGACTCTTGTGCAGGTGCTGTATGAATATACAAAAACTATATCCTTTTCCTCAGAGAGCTTTTGACCGACAAGGAAAAAAAAAAGGGCTGAAGAGGTGAGAATTTGAGCACCAGAGGGAGAAGGCAAGAAAGTAGGAGTGGAAGGTATGGTAAAAAGAATACCATCTAATAACGTTGCTGCTCCACCCAATAAATCAAGATTCTCTTTTTAAATTTCTGAATTCATTAGGAAAGTTAAAAACAAATAAAAGACTCCCATCTCCCTAAAATTCCACAGTTTTATAGCTCTCATGTTTGTGGATAAAAGCTTAGAAGTAACTGCATTTCCTAAAACTCTAAGTCAGAAGACTATAAAATGTTCTATTAAAAAGCAATACCAAACCTTATTTTTAAATTGCTCACTTTTTGAAGCCTGAACACTGCTTGAGTTTTCAACACTGATGTAAACAAACTTATTATTCAGAATGGAGAGAAAAGAGCAGGAAGCATTACTTCCCATCTTCCTGATAATCAGATAGCAACATATAGATTGTTATTCGAGGCTTAATGTTTTTTTTACCCTCTAGAGGAAATATAGAATGCTTCAGCCTTTAATTGCTTTAATTTATTTCAATACATCACAGAGCACAGTGTACAAAGCATTGATAAAGCATAACCCTGAAGGATGTAAATCTGAGACAAGATCATGAGTGGCATTCTTGTTGCATTATATTAATGACGGAAGGCAGTAAAGTCAAAAACAGATAAAAAGCAGGCTCGCCCTTGCACGGCCCACAAGAAGTGCTCAAAATGCAAGACAAACAGGAGAAAGAAGCACGACTGTTTGTAGTTGTGTATTTCTGTACTGAGGACAGAGACGTTCATTCTGATCAGAAAGTGGTTCTCCAGTTATTTCAAGAGTCCTCATTTTGCTCCAGGTTTACATCCTAAACCTGAGGAGGGTCAGCATGGACTGGGTACCTACATTTGAAATACTTCTGGTGACACTTTAATTACATGATTAAAGCATGCCCAGTTGTGCATTTAATTGAGATGTGGTAGTATAATTATATGATAATACCAAATATTTATAGCAGTGCTTTCAAAGTTTAAAGTGCTTTACACACATAATTGATTAACTGGGCTGCATGTAAATAATCTCACAGGGTTCACTCTCAGGTAACTGGCAGCTGACCAACCCCTTCTTGCAGGAGCAGACTCTAATCAGCAGACTCTCTATTCAGCAAACTCTAATCCAGGTGAATTTTCACCAGCTCATCATAGGGTTTAGTTTTCCTGTTCTTGTGTGCAGAAAAATCCCACTCCTTTCTCCCTTATTCTTAGAGGAATGTGACATCTTGCCCTGAACTCATGGATCAGAAACCTTCACTACCCAGGCGTGGCTCCAGTACAAGGCAGGCAAATAGGCCTCCCAAATACTTTCAAATGGGATGCAATTCCCCAAATTCAGATATTTTGGAAGACAGAATTGAGATGCTATCTTGGCTGAAAGCTTCCAACATGACTATGGTTCATATGCTTATGAACCATATGACTATGGTTCATAAGACTATCATATGACTGCATATGACTACGGTTCTTTTACAAAGGGCCCCTAGGTGAATATCCTGATGTCGCTAAAATTGAAGAGATTTTTGGCAATGATTTACAGAGATAGGGTTTTTGGCCAGTATACTTTATAGTACCTGGCTAGCATCTATGCCCACTACTTCTCGCTATGATTTCAGAAGCTGCTTCACTGTGCTTCACAGATACTATGCTTTTTAGTACAGACAGCTAAAGCTCACTCTAAGTGGAACGGAGAAACCATATCTTGACTGCTGTTGGTCAGGTTGATCCTATGCCTGTGGGACTGACCGGTTCTTGCTGCATGTGGTTTAGCTCAACAGCCACCTTTCAGCCTTTTGAATTTGGGTTCCCACCCCAAGGTTAGCCGTTTGCCCTCACCGCCTCTCTTCCAACCCTGCAATGTATTGCAAACCTTTAGCTGGAAATCAGGGTTTTGGAGATTAGAAAAAGTTACATTCAATTGTTTCG